CTCCACCTTCCTTCATCCGTACGTTCCAGCCTCCCCAGAGGCGGGGCGCTGGCGCGTACACAGGTAGGCACACCCCGGGAACCAAGCCAAGTGGGACGACGGGGGAGGACCCACCCCAGGAGCACCCAGTCACGGACGGCGGAGACAACTGGCAGGAACTCGCAGGCACGGCCTCGATACCTCAGAGCACTTTCCTTCTCCGGTCGAGTCCACCCACACCGCCATGGGACCAAAGATCAGGGGTAACAGCTGGTGGGCGGGTTCTTACGTCGCCCGCCAGCGCGCAGGGCCCGGAGGGGGTGACGGCATCGCCGGGCGGACCCGGAGCTGGAGCGGAGCCGGCCTCCGGGCTTTCAGTGACCTCCGAAGACGTCCGTCTTCACGGCGCCAGGTAACTCGCTGAGGCGCTCTTGTCGCCACGCCAGCGGCAGGCCGAGGGGTGACGGCCTCGCCGGGGACCGGGAGGTGGAGGCCGAGCCGGCCTCGCTTCAGTACTCGAACGTCACCGTCTTCACGCGCAGGTACTCGCTGAGCGCGGCCTCCCCTGCAAGACAGCGGCCGGGTGGGACGGGGCGTCACTGTGTCCCCGGCCCCCGCCCGCCGCCGCCCCCAGCCCGGCCCCCGCGCTCTCCCGCCACACCCCCAGGCCCGCCGGGTTTGGGGTGTCCCTGCCCGTCATCGCCCCAAATTCACAGTCGGGGAGCGGAGGCCCACGGAGGAGCGGAGGCCGAGCATGTAACACGTAGGCAGCTCCGGGGGGAGCTGGCGGGAGGGGCGGCACTCCCCGGAAGGCAGAGCCCAGCGGGGGCAGGGCACGTTCTAGAACTTTCCGCAGGAACGTTCTAGAACCTTCCTCGGAAACGTTCTAGGACATTCCCCAGAAACGTTCTAGAATCTTCCACAGAAACTTTCTAGAACTTTCCACGGGAACGTTCTGGGACCTTCCGCAGAAACATTCTAGAACCTTCCACAGGAACATTCTGGGACCTTCCGCAGAAATGTTCTGGGACCTTCCGCAGAAAAGTTCTAGGACCTTCCACAGGAACGTTCTAGAAACTTCCACAGAATCGTTCTAGAACCTTCCGCAGAAACGTTCTAGGACCTTCCGCAGCTCTCCCTGCCTTGCTTGTCTCTTATTTTTTCTCTTTTTTTCCTCTTATTTTTGTCCCTCTGGGTTTTTTTGGTTGTTTGCTTTTTTTCTCTCTCTCTTTTTTTTAGGAGACAGAGTCTCGCTCTGTCGTGAGGGCTAGAGTGAGTGCCGTGGCGTCGGCCTCGCTCACAGCAGCCTCCACCTCCTGGCCTCCAGCGAGCCTCCTGCCTCAGCCTCCCAAGTAGCTGAGACGACAGGCATGCGCCACCACGCCCGGCTCATTTTTTTTCTATATATTTTTAGTTGTCCGGCTCATTTCTTTCTATTTTTCTTTTAGTAGAGACGGGGCCTCGCTCTTGCTCAGGCTGGCCTCCAATTCCTGACCTCCAGCGATCCTCCCACCTCGGCCTCCCAGAGAGCCGGGATGACAGGCGTGAGCCTCCGCGCCCGGCCTCACTGCATTGTCTTGACCGGGGGGCTGGGGGAGGCCGGGACGGACCCAGACGCCCCCTCCCCCTCGGTCCCCCGTGTTCTGTCCCCGCTGCTGACCCCCGGGGACTCCACGTCAAGCCACCTCCCGCGAGGGGCCCCGGCCCCAGTTCTGACCGGCATGTTCCAGCCTGGAGGCCGGCCTCCGATCCTCCAAAGGAGGACGGTCTGGGAGGCTCGGTGGTGGCCCGCCCTGGGCCTGTCCAGGACGAGGGAACCGGAAGGGGCAGGGAGCTGGGGGACACAGGGGAGAGTCCCGTGGCTGCAGCCTTCCGGATTCCCACAGTGGAGGCCAGGACGGAGGCCCAGAGAGGAGGCTGAGGGCGTGGCTGGCCCTGCCTGGGCTGAGGCCAGCTCGGCGATGACCTCCGGTGACCTCACAGCCTCCACGGCCCCCATTGCTCCCCCGAAGCCTGAGGATGGAGCCGTGGCCTCCGGAACCCTGAGACCTCGCCCCTGCCTGTCCTCCCTCCTCGGCCTCCACACCCCCACGCCTGCCTCTCTGCAGCTCCCAGACGGGACGTGGGGCCCTGGGGACCGCCCGCCGCTCTGTGGGGACCCTCCCATCCCCACGGGGGACACCTCGACCCCCGGGAACCCTCCTCCCCGTCTGTGGCCACCTTGCTCCTGGACTCTACGCCTGGCCTCTACCCTGGACATGAGGGCGTCTTGTTCAGTGCCCGACCCCAGCACCCAGCCGGACGGGGCCTGGAACCCCGGGTGGCTTTAACTGATGTCTGCGGGCCGGGCCCGGAGGCCCACGCCTGTCATCCCGGCACTCTGGGAGGCCGAGGCGGGAGGATCGCTATGGAGGTCAGGAGGTGGAGGCCAGCCTGAGCAAGAGCGAGACCCCGTCTCTACTAAAAATAGAAAGAAATTAATTGGCCAAGTAAAAATATATATAAAAAGAATTAGCCGGGTGAGGTGGTGCATGCCTGTAGTCCCAGCTATTTTGGAGGCCGAGAGTGGAGGATCATGCAAAGTCAGAAGTTCGAGGCCTGCCCGAGCAAGAGCGAGTCCCTGTTTTTACTAAAAATAGAAAGAAATTAATTGGCGAAGTAAAAATATATAGAAAAAAAAAATGAGCCGGGCGTGGTGGCGCATGCCTGGAGTCCCAACTACTCAGGAGGGAGGCTGAGGTGGGAGGCTCGCTCGAGGTCAGGAGTTAGAGGCCAGCTCTGAGCAAGAGCGAGACCCCCGTCTCTAATAAAAAAATAGAAACAAATTAATTGGCCAATTAGAAATATATATAGCAAAAATTAGCTGGGCACAGTGGCTCACGCCTGTCATCCCGGCTACTCGGGGGCCGAGGCGGGAGGATCGCTCCAGGTCAGGAGCTCAAAACCAGCCTGAGCAAGAGCGAGACCCCGTCTCTACTAAAAAAATAGAAACAAATTAATTGGCCAACTAAAAATATATAGAAAAAAAAATGAGCCGGGCGTGGCGGTGCATGCCTGTAGTCCCAGCTACTCGGGAGGGAGGCCGAGGCAGGAGGCTCGCTCGAGGCCAGGAGCTGGAGGCCGCTATGAGCGAGGCTGACGCCACGGCGCTCACTCCGGCCCAGTTGACAGAGCCAGACTCTATCTCAAAAAAAAAAAAAAAAAAAAAGCAACATCTGTTTTTGCACTCAGGGAGGCCAGGAAGGGAGGCTCGCTCGAGGTCAGGAGTTCAAAACCAGCCTGCGCAGGAGCGAGGCCCCGTCTCTACTGAAAAAATTACAAAGAAATTAATCGGCCAACTGGAAACATAGAAAAAAAACAAAAGGAGCCGGGCGTGGAGGCGCATGCCTGTCGCCCCAGCTCCTCGGGAGGGAGGGAGGCCGAGGCGGGAGGCTCGCTGGAGGCCAGGAGCAGGAGGCCGCCGTGAGTGAGGCTGACGCCACGCGCTCTGTCCGGCCCGGGCGAGGCGCGAGCCTCTGTCTCAGGAGCAGGAAAGCCACCCCGGGCGCTGCCGGGCGACGCGGCGGCCTCCGCCGGGCCTCACCCAGGTCCTTGCCGAAGCCGGACTGCTTGAAGCCGCCGAAGGGCGCGGCCACGTCCGTCTTGTTGTAGGTGTTGACGAACACGGTCCC